GACCAATAGCTCCTCTAGGTGTACCATGGCTATCCGATTAACAGCAGCAGCAGGGTGGCCATTAGCATCTCTGCTGTCGTTGCTTCCTTTTAGGGGACCATAGAAGACCCACCCCAGTAGGGTCTTTGCAGCGTACGGTCCTTCTCCTTGGCTATTGATCAGCTCCCAAGGTTCCAATACCTTAGGAGAATTTGTCCCAATGAGTAGGTCAATGCCAGAAGCCATTTCATTAATTTTGATGTCCTTTAAGTAAGGCCATTTTTCCAGATCTTCTTGTAGAGGAATATTGTGCTTGGAAACAGGCATGGTTTTATGTGTAAACACATCGGATAGTTGAAGGAAATTGTTTTCGTCCAGACTCGATATTTCCAAACCTGAGATATGATGACTAGACACAATCTTTCTCTGATTCATTGTCTTTAGGAGAATGTTAGTCCTTTGTCCTGTAAGGTTTAGCCTCCTCATTAAACTTTCTGTGCAAAAGGTGGATGAACTTCCATGGTCCAGAAATGCATAAGTTTGTAACACTTTGTCCCCTTTGTGGCTCTTTACTTGTACTGGTACAATGGAGAAGATGGAGTTTTCATCACCGGCCCCAATGTGACCACATGTATGAGGTGAGATGACACTATTACTTTCCATTGGCTTCCCATTCTGGTTTGTGTGTTCTGCTTCCTCTCTTTTGCCTTTTTGTTCAATGTGGAGTATTTCAGGATGACTTTGATTGCACACATAACATGTCAAACGACTGTGGCAGTGTTTGCTCATGTGTCCTATTTTTAGGCTTCCAAAACACACCCCTTTTCCTTTCAAGAAGTCCATTCTTTCTCTGTGTGTTTTCTTCAGGATGTGTGGACACTGCTCCAATGAGTGACCACTTCTTCTGCAGAACAAACACAAATGTAGGGAGTTGTGGCTTGATGGAGGTATTTTCATTCCATTCGTTGTTACATGTTCTAGCACTGGTGTTCTTGGGCAGGTAATAATTGTTGCAAAACTACTTCCCCTTAGGCTTGGTTTTCCCTTTGAAAAGGTAGAGATAACAGTTTTGATAGCTGCAGTTGGTTTATCATCCTGGATGCTTCCAAACAGAGGATCTGACAGTATCTTCACTTGCCTCTCTATGAAGCTAACAAGGTCAGGAAATGTAGCTCGATGCCCACGCTCTTCCTGTAGCTGACATGCTCTATTCCTCCACTTGTCTCTGAATTTGTAGGGTAGTTTCTGAAGTATGTGTTTCATGTTTGAAACAACATTCATTTCATCCATATAGGTGAGATGTTCCATTGCATTGCAACAACCTCTTAGGAACAAAGAGAAGGCTTGCAGTGCTTTCACATCTTCGGCTTTGATCATTGTCCAGGTAAATGCTTTGTTCATGTATGCAGTGGCGATCTTATGTTCATTACCAAAGTGCTCTTTAAGCAGCTGTTTTGCCCTTTGATAACCTTGAGCTGGAGGCAGATGTTGGCAGCTGCGCACTAGGTCCTGTGGTTGGCCTCTGGTGTATTGCTCTAGGTAATGCAGGCAGTCACTTTCATCATTAGTTTTCCGCTCTACTCCTCTTTCAAATGCACGGATGAAAGCTGCAAACTGCAATGGGTCACCGTCATAAACAGGAATGTCTCTTGGAGGTAAAGTAGAAGTGAGATGTTGTTGAGCCAGCATAGCAGTGTTGTCATTTTGCCTCTGGATTAGGTTATAGATGTCACCTTGATTACCATTGTTGATTACAGGTGGTGTGATGTCAACATGTCCCTGCACATGTGTCTGTATACTTTGTCTGGGAATAGAGGTTTGGGCTTGATGAGGCAAGAATTCAGTGGCCTGTACGTTAAATCTTGCTGTAGGGTTTCTGTAGTAAGAGCTCATCCCATCTGATGCTCTAGAGGTGTGTCTTGATCCCATGCTGAGCACGTTTAGCCTGGCATTGGCTTCTGCCAGCTTAGTTTGTATATCCAGTTGTTCCTTTTTCCGTTTCACCTGTTCTTCCTGTTGTTCCAACTGTTGTTTCTGTTGTTCCAACTGTTGTTTCTGGTGTTTTAATTGTTCCCCTTCTACATCAAGCTCATGTTGTTTGTTCAGTGCTGCCGCCCTTTCTATTAAAGCCGCCCTTTCTGCCTGGGCTTTAATTCGAGCAGAAGAGGTAGATGATGCGTGTGATGAACCAGGTTTGTATTTTGACTGAGGGTGTGATGCCTTTGAAATGCTGTCATCAGGTCCGATGTCATCTGAGCTGACACTTTGTTCTATGGCACTTCCCACAATAGAGTGTCTAATTGCCTGTCCACTCTCAGATAACCACACATTTGCATCTTGTATAAATCCATCAAATATATGCATATTTTCTTGCAGCCACTGCCTTTGCTTTCCCATTTCTTCTTCAGGCAGTTGAAGGTCAGTTAATGATTTGTGATTTTCTTTTAGTTCATCACACAACTTCTTAAATTCAACCAGTTTCAACTGTATTTCCTTTGCATTGTCTTCTGAGCTCATAAGCTCTTTCAGTACTTCCATTAACTTCTTTACTTGTTTGTAACTGAAGTTTCTTGCTTTTTGGCAGTTTGCAATAAACAATTCCAATCCTTTGGCAGTGTGAGTGATAATCCTTTTTTCTCTCACAGATTGCAGTCCAACAGCGCCATCTTGTGACGTGACGTCAGATGTCACAGACATGATTAATGTTCACTGTCCCTTTAAGTTTCGTTCTCAGGAATTGTCCGTTAGCTGACAGCGCGCTGTTTCAAACAGCTCACAATGTTGCAGCACCACATCCATTTACTAAGCCATTGTCCAATACAGCTTAATATCTCTTTTACAATCTACTTATCACGCTGCACATACCCGGCCGCTTTCCCAGTCCTCTCTCAGCCTCTTCGGTCCTCGCAGGTGGGAACAATCTCCAGCTGATTGTGGCGTGTGCAGCTGATCCGTGATGAGAAGTCGATGGTGCAATAATCCAATTATTTGTTTTCCCCGAAAACGATCCTTAATCCAATTTGAAGTGAATCCAATTGTCCAGTTTCACTCAAAAGTACGATTCCACTTAATGTAATGGCAATTTCCTTTTCCTATGTCCTATATATTTTTGCCGTTACTTTCACAGAAGGGTTGAAAAGTGATCCAGACGCAGACACAAACAGATGATTTTCCGGTCCTTAGTTGTGGTTTATGATGATGTTTATTCGTCTTTACATACCAGGGTTAATTTAGCGTTCTAGTGATTCTATGAGCATCTGCCGGGCTGGTGGAATCGGTATGCTCTTCTCCTACTGTGTCCACCCATCTTCTGTCACCTATGACCTCCTTATATACACCCGGTGCAGCTAAACCCCGCCACCCAGTGTTCATAAATAATATTGCACTATACATATAACTTAAATAAACTGACACACCAACATCACCCACAAAATGGCTCCTACATTAACGTTACATCACTCTTTTTCACTTCTTACTCAGTCAGCCAGAGTGCAGATATCACCATTAGATTCACAAACCTGAAACATCATCCATTTCTTCACTGCTGGTGACGACATTGTTGTCAGCTGCTGATACTGCTGCTGCTGCAGCTTGTGGCGCCGGCTGCTTCGATGACAATAACTTTCTAATATCCATAACTGTATAGGCTATTAGCTTAAAACTCGTCAGGCACTAGGAAGGATCACTTCTTCTTCAGGGCAGGCTACGCAGTACGCAGGCTAATGTCCCACAGTGGCTGCCTCTCTGGTGGACTCCGGTACTGCACATTACTCCCGAGACGTTATAAAAAATAAAAAATTTAAATTACATTTTTTTATTTTTTTAAGTGAAACATCCGGGGCTTTTCAGAAAACATCCGGGGCTTGAGCCCAGGTAGCCACCCCCTAGCGCCGCCACTGATACTTAGTCATTGTTTTGACAAACTAATGCGATGCGATTTTTGGGCACGGAGCGATTACATGTAGTCAATTCAAAGACGCAGCGAGACGCGAATGTTCTCGTGTTAGCCAATCAGCAGTGAGGATTGAGAGGAAAGAGTTTGAGCCCCATACTGTTTCAGAAATAATCCTTGATGTGGTTTGGAACATGATATGGTTATTAATCACGGCAGAGTTTAGCTGAGTTTCTGCTGGTAGACAGCCTTCTCTTCATAGAGATCACTGCTTGCATGCGGACGCTCCACAGGGGGCGTGGCCAGCAGCAGCTCGGTTACATTTAAAGGGCCAGAATCATCACTTTAGTAACAGCTGAAATACAGGGGGGTGAGGCTAGAATGATCTGTTTGGTATTTTGTTCAAAACACTTCTGAGACATTTTTATATATCTGAGACCTATAATATATGCCTAAAAAGTCTAATAGGAGACCTTTAATGTATACCAGCATTATGTAAGTCATTATGTTGTCATACCAAGTCATATTTTGACTAGATTAGAAGAACTTGACAACCCTGACTGAGTTTTTTTCTCTAACTCCTTTTGTATCTCTGTGGTTTCCAGAGGGTGAACCTGGTGATCTCGGAAATCTGGGCTTTTTTTTAGATACTTAGTCATTATTTTGAGATACTACATTACATTACATTTAATTTGTTAGACGCTTTTATCCAAAGCGACTAACATACATTCAGTACTGTGGACAATCCCCACAGGAGCAATTTGGGGTGAAGTGTCTCAGGGACACAACGACATGCTGACTGCAGTGGGACTCGAACTTGCTGTCCCCTGATTCGAAGTCCAGCACACTATTTTGAGATACTAAGTCATTATTTGAGATACTAAGTCATTATTTGAGATACTAAGTCATTATTTTGAGATACTAAGTCATTATTTGAGATACTAAGTCATTATTTTGAGATACTAAGTCATTATTTGAGATACTAAGTCATTATTTTGAGATACTAAGTCATTATTTTGAGATACTAAGTCATTCAAATGTCACCCCAAGTCATTATTTTTACTAGATAAGAAGAACTTGACAGACCTGACTGAGTCTGCCTCTCTAACTCTTCTTCTGTGGTTTCCAGAGGGTGAACCTGGTGATCTCGGTGTGGGATCACGACGCTATGACCCGTAACGACACCATGGGGAAGATATCTCTGGGCTGCGACGCGTCGGGGAACCAGCTGAGGCACTGGGCCGACATGCTGTCCAACCCGCGGCGCCCGGTCGCTCAGTGGCACGGCCTGCTGACGGCCGAGCAGGTCAACTCCACGCTGACCCTGAAGAAGAAGATCCCACTGCAGAGCAAACTGCCCTTCCTGAGGGACAGATGAAGACATGAAGGACACATGAAGACCTAGAACATGCAGGAACAGGGGATTTAAATAATGGTGAAAGAAACATCCTGCAAGTCATTTTAACCAGAAAATAGGTCAAAAATAGTGACTCTAAAAAATAATGACTTAGTATCTCAAAAATAATGTTAATAACCACTAAGTTTCTCAAAGCAATGGCTAAGTATGTAGAATAAATGATTTATATTGAAAATAAATGATTTCGTAATGTCAAAATAAAGACTTATGAGTCAGAAATAATGATTTATAATTGAAAATATGTTAAAATTATGACTTAATATGTCAAAATAATGACTTAATATGTCAATAACCACTACGTTTCTCAACTTTCTCAATGTCAATAACCACTAAGTTTCGCATCGCTCTAAACGCTCGAGTTTCACCGCGGCTGCCAGCTGTGTTTACTCGCATCATTCAAACAAGACACGCTGGTAAGGGGGCTACAACTACAACAAAAGGAACATATTTGACCGTGATTAAATTGTAATACACGTTTCAAAATGATGCCGAAGTAACAACATACTGATACCGGTTAGTAAAAACCATGAATTAATGCTTTGACAAGTCTGCAGACAGACGGCAGGCGGAAAACCTTTTAAAATGCGTGTTTTCTGAATGGAGCTCTGCTAAGCTAACGTTGTAAATGCTCCGACCGTCCACACTCACAACAACGGCCTACAGACATAAATAAAGCAGCGACTGTATTCTCCATGACACAGGCAGTCTGTGGTTTGTACTTGTTTAACTTTTGTCTAGTTTCTGAACAGATATGAGGAGCTGTGAGCTCTGAGTGCTAACAGCTAGTGATGGCAGTTTGACACTGAAGCTTCGAACAGAGCTTCAACCCTGGACTTCCTATTCCATAGAAGCAGTGCTTCGAAGCTTGCTTCAAATCACGTGACATGTGACGTCCGAAGCAGCAACTGCTTCAAATCACGTGACATGTGACGTCCGAAGCAGCAACTGCTTCAAATCACGTGACATGTGACGTCCGAAGCAGCAACTGCTTCAAATCACGTGACATGTGACGTCCGAAGCAGCAACTGCTTCATTTCCTGAATGAATCACTCACTGGTTCGCGGTCCATTCACGCGATTCAATGCACTGCCTCGTCTCGATTCTGACAGGTGACAGGTTGAAACAGTTTCAAACTTGAGCGCTTCAACACTTTATGACCGCTCTAAACAATGCGCAATGTGTGGGTTGTTGTCTAGTTTGCGTTGTTGCTGTTGAGTTGTTGTTGGTATTGCATTTGAATTTATTGTATCATTATAGAGCAAGCCAGGAAGAAAGATAAGTTGTTCTGGAAAACACTTCGAAATGTGGAGAAGTTCTGAACAAAAAGACAGTTATAAGTAATATAAAAACAGTTCAATATTTTAAGGAATAGATAGCCCAGTGGGTAGAGCCGGGGCCCGAATGCGGCGATGTCCTCCGCGCAGCTGGTTCAAAGCCCGGAATGGATGTATTTTAATCATTGCTTTTCAACTTTAATGACTGATAAAAGGCCCTCTCCTCCCAAAAAAATTTTCCAGCACTCTCTAGTTTCTTCTCAATAACCCAATACACACAATTATCAATCTTTAATTGCAAATAGAACATGATATTCAGTCTTAGTGTGTGTGTGCATCGAATATTTTTCAAGGCAAAGATACGTTAAACCCACTGCAGCCTTGCACTTTCGCCAGGAGAGGTCGCTGTAACTGAAGCTTCGAGAAATGAACCTATTTCCGACACAATTGTCCAAGTGGTTCGACGCTTCATTCAAAGCTTCATTTTGCCATCACTACTAACAGCTAACGGTTGATGTTTTGGTTTTCTGGTTCAACGTCAGTGGCTGAGATCCTCACCGCTGATTGGCTACCGCGAGATCGCGTCACGCAAATTAGACGCTGGAGTTGAAAAAATTGAACTCAAGCGGTTATCGCGGCCCCCTTCAATCGCGCTGCGGCATTCGCATCAAGCGCTTCATGCTCGCCGTCGGAGCGAATTCTCGTCTGTCCGCATCTCTGCATTGACTTTTCATGTAATCTCGCCGCCCCCAAAAATGGCATCGCGTCCGGTGTGAACGCAGTGTCAACATTCAGACTTATGTGTCATAAGGAATATGACTTAATGTCAAAATAATGATAATAACCACTAAGTTTCTCAAAGTAATGGTTAAGTATGTCGAATAAATGACTTTGATTTCAAAATGTTTGACCTTAATGCCAAAACA